TGGCATACAAGGTTCTTTGTGTAAATCTTTTATTAGATCAACTCAAATAGTTGGAAAAGCTCTTCTTAGCAAGCTTTCAGGTATAAATAAGAGTCCTGTGTGAAGTGGCTAGTATTCGCTTCAGATTTGGCCAATTCGGGGGACAGTGACTCGATTCAATGATTCAAATTACTGTCCCAATTTTGATTCTGGGGGGGCGGGGGCAGTGATCCCCGCTGCCCGCCAAAGCTCTCCAAAGACTTGGAGAGCTTTGAATCAATTTGGACTTTTAAATTGGTCCCCTGATTCAATTCGGATTTGGAGATTTGGCCACCGAACCTTCTCTGAATCGAATTACCTCCCAAAGCTTTGCACAGCCCTAATAAATAACCTTTTGTCAGGCTGAGGAAGCATCTGCAGTTGGTGTGTGCTCTTCCTGGATGGAATGAACAGTAAGGAAGCCAGAGGCTGGTATGTATACAAGAAATATCAGGTTTACAGTCACTTAGACTAACATGGCTACAACCTACACCCTTTTCCCTGCAACCTCATACCTCTCAGCAAGTTTACAGTGAAGGAATGTGAGAGAGAGTTTCCAAGCAAACATCCTCTTACTCTGGACTCTAGTTAAAACAAGGGGCTTAAGTTTTGGTCTAGCTGAGTTTTAGTTGCTGCAATAAAACCATGTAGTTAGTCAGTCCTAATTAAATATATTTATATATAAAAGAAACTTGTCTTTCAGGCTCCCCTTCAAAGAGAGGAGCAGCAAACTGACCTGCAAAATGACTAGCAAACTGTCTTGTTTGTTTCTCCCTTTTTGCTGCTCCCATGGTTACTTGGACTGCCTCTTTATATACCTTTCCTGGGCCTGGACTGGCTAGTAGGGCTGTGCGAAATTTCAACGGGTGTTCATTTTGAAGCTGTTTGGATGCATTTTGAGCTCAAAATGGCTAAACTGAAATTAAATGAAAGAAGGGCACTCGAAACGTTTTGAGTCTCGAAGCTGGGCTTGCTTGCAGCTAAACAGAAACTAAGGAGAGGGAGGGGAAAGGGGGAGAAGGACTGCTCTAATATTGACATGTGTAGCTGGCCAGTGACTGTGATCCATCCCTGAGGTCCCTTACAATCCCAGTGCTCTGGGGGAGGGACAGAAGAACAGCATAAAAAGCACTGTTTGAATTGAGCTTTCTCTGTGCCTTCACATTTATGAGTAATATGAGTTTTGCTCTGAACAGTTTGAGGTACAGTTTCCCAGAAACCCCTGCACCTATCTTCTTGAAACCTGGCAGGCTTCATGGCCTTAGCAGGGTCTACCATGCCTGCTCTTTTCATTTCTTTCAGGAAAGAAATGACAAAGTTATAGGCATTTTTGTGATTTCCCCATGATAGCCTATGGGCAAAGTGTTGAAACAGCTTCCATAAAACGAAATGGAGCAGTGCTTCCAAACAGCAAAATGAAACACTGTTCCTTTGAAATGGTGAAATGGAAGTTGAAATGAAATGGTGCTGTTTTGCACAACTCTACTGGCTATGCCCCTTTATTAGGGCCCTTTGTCACACGGAGGCAGCAATCAATCAGCAGTCAGTCCACTCAGCTGCTCAGAGCACACACCGAAGCACAGGCAGCCACCAAACAGCCCTCAGCAAAGCAAGCACACGGGCAACCCTGGCTCAGGTACCCTCCCAGAAGAGGTTCTGGTACCCAGTGCCTCTTCCCCTTCCTCTGCTTGCCCCCAGCAAACTGCTGGCAAACTGTCTTGTTTGCTTCTCCCTGTTTGCTGCTTAAGACCAGAGGAACAGGTGGTAGCTATGGGGGTGGTATGGGGCCACATGGGCACCTAAGGGGAGCCCAGGAAGAGTCAGAGACCTCAGGGGGCTGGAGTAAAGTGAGATACAGGGTCAGGGGCCTGGAGAGCAAGACCGGGCCAGGGGTCCAGGTTACATGTATGCAAGATAGGGTTGGGGCCGAAGAGCCAAGGTCCTAGGCAGTGGCCTGGGGCTAGGGGTGCAGGCAGAGTAAAAGGGCCAAGACCAGATAGGTTGAAGCCCAGGCAAAGGTTTGAGGCCTGAGGAGCCAAGGGCTATGTTGGGGCCAGGAGGAGACCTCAGAATTGATACTAAGTAACACCTGTGAGGCATGGGCATGACTATGGGGGAAGCAGGAGGCCATGATAATTGCCCCTAAGGTACCTCATGCTCTAAGGCATGGATAGGACCAAAGGGGCCACTATCTAGTGCCGGAGAGGCAAGACTGGTGCCATTGGAGCCTCTGAAGCAAGAGACAGTTGAGAGACTGAGGGTCTCTCTGGGACCCTGGAGCAGCCTCCCTACATACTTTAAGATCAAGGCATTGCTAGCAACATAGAAAAGGGAAGGTACTCTGAGAAGCCAGAGTGGGGCAGGAGTCACATGGCCACCCAGGGACATCATGGCCACCACTGGGGCCTGATCCTGTTACATGCATCATAACTTGCATGTGTGGCATGTCATATGGGGGACTGCCTCAGGGCTCAGCCCCTGGACAGTCCCTACCAGCTAACAGACTAGGGTTCAAGCCCTGGGCCATCCCAATCTCCTATCAGCTGGCAGGGACTAGCCTGGGATTTGAGTCCTGAGGCAGTCCTTGCTAGCCGGTGATCAGCTGATTAGGGTGGACCTGGGGCTGAAATTCAGTTCATTCTTCTACTACTTCCATACTGCTGCCAGGTTCCTTGACTGGAAATCCAAATGTACAGAGGGACTCCAACCCCTGCACAGCCTGCTGTCTTTTTATTATATAGGTGATGCTTTAAATCTCAGTCTTTGCAGTGGTTCTAAGCTACTGGCACCATGTGCCAGTGCTCTGTGTAACAATAAAAGTACTCCATTTGTGCTGTAACAAGTTAGAACTTTATCTGAAGTGCCATGTGCTGCTGCTTGCAGCCATGAGGTGTATTGTGTGTTCAGAGCTATTCCAAAATTCATCAAGCATATAGAGCTTCCTAGTGTCATTTTCTAAATCTTTCATATGACAACTTGTGTTTCAACCTGAAGGAATCTGCAGTCTGCTACACCATCCACCTACCAACCTTACAGTAGGGTGTGGAGTGAATTTGAAATTAAGTGGCTGTAGCAGAGAACTAAGATGTGCCTGCTTGTTTTAAGGGCAGAAGCAGCCAGGCTGGGGAGCCCTGCAGGTGAGGCAGAGCTCCACAGCTGCCAGTTGCCTGAGCAACAGCCTAATGAGGGTAATTGATGAGTACCTGAAGACGGTCAGATGACTGGAAGGAGGCAGGGCCCTGGGGACATACGCTCAGGGCTAGAGCTAGCAGGGTCACTCTCTCTGGCAACTGCCAAGGGCAGGAGCTCCTGCACAAGAGAGCTGCCTACCTTGCTGCCTACAAGAACAGTAAAGCTCCAGGAGCCCCCAGGTACCCAGGGCTAGGAGATGCACTATCTTAGGGGTGGAAGATTTGCCTTCTTAAAGGGGCCAAGCACTGCCTTCATTGTGAGCGTTATGTTGTAACCTAGGTGCCTGTGTTTTTGTTGCTTTTGCCCGGTGGTTTGGCATGAGGCTGTAGGGGCGGTGGAGACCTCATTAGTGCCCAGAGAAAGGGGCACACAACTTGGGTAGAGCCCAGCACCAGGAGAATGCAGACACAGGGACCGGAGGACAGGTGCCAGGGAGGTGCAGAGAGACAGGCAATAGCAGCATTGGAGAGATGCACAGAGACAGGCGTTGGGGAGCCCAGCACCAGAGAGGCGCAGAGAGACAGGTGCCAGCTACATCAGAGAGAGGCACAGAGAAACAGGTGTAGGAGAGCCTGGTGTCAGAGGGGTATAGAGACACAGGGGCTGGAGGGCCTGGCACCAGAGGGGCACACAGAGGTGACAATAGTCGTATAACTCCTGCGAGGCATGGGACATGGTAAAGGGAAGGTTGGAGCTGTGTAATATTCTCTGGGTATTTGGGCATTAAAAGGGCAGCCTCTCACCTTGAAACAACTCTTTCATTAAAACAAAGGCATGGCAGGAAAGTCAGGTGGGCAGACTGTCCTAGACAGGTGGGCAGGCCAACGTTGTGACCAGCCTTGAGATGACCTCTGTCACAGTGGCTTTTTAGGGAAAGTCTTGTAAAGTTTCAGCCTGAGGCAGAGGCCTTGGACAGCCCCCTTCACCCCAGGAATTCCTCATGAGTGGGATCTAGGCAGCCTTCTGACCCATCCAGCCAACTGGGGTCTTCAGCTCCCACTATGGAAATCCTGGGAAAAATTCATGAACTTGCCACTGAGGCATACTGATCTGGGCAATAACTCCTGCTCCAAAAGCACTGCAATGCAAGAACGGTGACTATTCTACTTGCAACCCCTTGGCAGTGTATGTGTGGACACCTCTGAATTGTGACAATTGTGAGTTGGTTCCCAATTAGTAACGTTCCTGGAATGTTTTGATTGTTATGCATGTTTTATTCCTGAGTGCCAGCATGGCTGGGGGTGCTGCAAGGCACTACATTGCAGAATACCTGGAGCATGGCCCTGCCCACTTGCCATGGAGTGCTCTAGCTCAACAAGCATACAAGACATTGTTTGAGATGTTCCAGAAGAAAACAATACCCCGTTCCTCCAGATGCACTTCCAGCAGCTTTTGTCATGAGTTAGGGGTCATGTATATCTGTGCACACCTATCTTGTTGTGGGATAAAAAGATTTGTCCCACAACAAAAGTGTGACAAATGTGACTTCTGTGTATGTCTCTGTAATTGAGAATGTGAATGCTATTACGAGTCAGAACTTTGTTTGACTTTGTTTCCCGCTCCTAGATTTTCTGTTTGCATGCTAGTTTTAAAATTCCTCTAGTACCTTTTGGCACCTTCCTGTATAAACACTTATTAGATTGTACTTTAATCACATCCCAAACTTCTCTTTAATAAGCTCAATAGATAGTCTTTTTGGTCTCTCGGTGTAAGCTGTTTTCTAGATTTCATATGTTTCTAGTAGCTCTGACTTGAAACTTTCCAATTTTTTCAATATTCTTTTCCTGCAGGTATGACCTCTGTGTCACAGCTCTAAATGGTGCTCTGTACACTATAGGAGGGGCAGCTTTTCGATTTGACATGGAAACAGATGAATGGACCCAAGTAGATGAAGAGTCCTTGACCCGGAAGTTCTTCATGGGGTGTAGCACTGTGAATGGACAAATTTATCTTCTTGGACAGAGAAAGGGGACCAGTGCTATCCCCAACACAGTGCTCTTTGACCCTTACACTGACACCTGCCAGGTGGTAGATAATAATCTCCCTTGCCCACTTCCTATTCGTGGCTGTGTCTCTGTACAAAAAATTGACACATGGACTTCAGGAATCCAGGACCCTGGAAGTGGATCGAACTACTCTAAGTATTTTAGAGCTTGTAAGGCTTAATATTTGTTGTTCATTGTAAAACTTGTAGGATTTTAAAATAACATTTATTTCTCTCGATTTTTTTTTTGTCATTTTTCTGTATGGAAAACAGTCATAGGATGATATAGTTGAGGATGGTCCTCCTTTGAGCAGGGGGTTGGACTAGATGACCTCCTGAGGTCCCTTCCAACCCTAATGATCTATGATTCTATCATATTTTGTCCTCAAAGAATCAACATGGTGTAGAGAGTTTTTATGACTCTTTCATCAAAGCATCACCAGTAACGTCAACATGATTAACTGAGTGATTTAACTGTAATACATTAACTCAGGAGCCTTGATAGGGGTCTCATTGTATTTTGAGGAAAGCATGTGAGCACTTGGTAGGATTTGGGACTTTTTGTTTTTATTATTCATGAGAGCTTCCATTTTCCTCCTGGCTTTCAATGTCATGTATAAAGTAGGTATAACATAGGTTTTAGGATGATACTGAGAAAATCATTTAGACTAAAGCTATTAGTGCTTCAATTTGATAGCAGATACTGCAGCTTGTTGGGAATTGTTAGTAGACTGTTTCCCCCAAAATGCTATTTCATTGAGACATTACATTAATGACATGACTTGAATTCAAACAGTTTTGGGAAAAGAAAACTGAAATTGTGCTAATGTCCTTATCTGATATTATTGAACTAGAAAAAGTTTTGAATTGAAATGACTTCTTGTAAAGAAATATTAGTACATTAAGACTAAAATTATTACAAAGGAAAAATGGTTAAATCTGAAATATTTCAAGATTATGAAAACAAACCTTTCAATTGACCTGAACCATTTTTTTCCCCCCCCCCTCTGATTTTTGTTTTGCCAAAGTTGTTGAGATTTTGACCTCTCATGGTTTGGAAAAAGGGAACACTTTTTTTTTTCTTATCTTAAATTATTGTGGGATTGTAGCAGCATTAAAATTGTACTCACCTGAAGGGCTAGGATGGGCTGCCCTGCAGAAGCGCAGAATGTGGAGAGAGAGGGTTTGTCCTAGTAGGGACACCGTTTGCCCTGAAGGCGACTGAAGCTGCTTTGGAGGCAGCCCTCTTTGAAGTGGGAGGAGTGATATAACCCGAGCAGGAGTTATGAATGAGAGGAATCTTAGCAAAAGCCCGGGAAGAGTCCTGGCCTCAAATTGGCTGAGAGGGCTTGTTTAAAAGGGGGAACGGTTTTTCCCGGGGAAGAGACAAGGAAGAGAGAGAGGGGGAGACAGGCTGGAGGCCAGGAAAAGGGCCTCATGACAGCCATCCCTCAGACAGCCCCTGTCTGAGCCCTGAAGAGGAAGCAGGTAGAGGCTGCACTGGCGATGGAAACACTGCCAGGGCAGGCACAAGAGAGGATCTGCCTGTCAGGAGACCGCAAGCCTGGGAAGACCATCCCCTCCTATGAGCCCCCATGTCGCATGGGTGAGCACAGGAGGGGAGGGGGACACAGGACCAGTGGCAGACTACCCTGGTTTTCCCCGTGAGTGAGAAGGCACCTGGGGAGGGGCACACTCGGTGTGCCAGGGGCGCACGGGGCTAGAGGGGGCAGGGAACTGCTCCAGCCCACCAGGAGCCCCAGTCCAGGCAGAGCCCAGGGAAGGGGCTGCCTTTGCTGGGTGGTGTGAGGCTGTGCTGGGCAGGGGCACTGCTGCAGCCCAGACACTGCTCCTGCTGTGCCAGAGGATGAGGTTTGGGGCAGGAATAAGCTCTATCTAGGGATCACAGGGGAGCACCGCCTGCTGCACTGAGACCCCTGAAGCATGTGTGAGGGATGCCAGCAGTGGGGACCCACCTATGGCTCCTGTGCCAGGGGCACAGAAGTAGTCCTGTTCCCCGAGAAACCAAGCCAGGGGCAATGTACACAGGGTCCTCATAGTTACCCTGTTACAAATTATAAACCAAGTATTTAAATCAGTTCTTGATGGTTTATTAGTTGGTGGTATCAATTCATTTATTTATTTGGTTCTTTATTTAGTGTGGGTAATTTGTATGCCTTCCCCTGGTGTAAGGTGTATCAGAGAAGCATTAACCCTTAAGCCACCATCGCTGAGTTATGTTTGTGCAACAGTTGTTTTGTTGTATTAATTGTATGTTATTTTTTAAATAATTAAATTTTGTAAATAGTTGTATAACAGTCTGCAAGGTTGTTTTGATTGTCAGGGAAGGCTCTCCACCAGGGGACCCTGCAGCAGCTACCCAGGGAGCTAGCTGAGCAGGGCCACCAGGTAGTGGGTACCCCAGGATCCCACTATTCAGGTGAGGGTGTGGGTAGCATTGTACCCAGGATTACAGGATGGTATAACAGGGAGCCTATGGCTCCTGTTACTTTGAAAGCTGTTTAGTTCTTTTTTACCCTCTTAGGCAGCCAAATAAAGGTTACCTGCAAAAAAATAGGCAGCGAGAGGCCAGAAGCTGCGAGTGTCTATTACTGTACTAGTTGCATAGCAATAGTATGATAGAACAGAGCCTATCTAAACAAGAGAGCCATTGCTATAGGAGTTAGGATAGCAACACCAAGCTGCCGATTTAGAATGAGAAAGAGGCAGCTGTGCCAAGGCTAGCAAGCCACTTGATCAAAAGTGGGTGAGGCTTGAGGGTATATAAGCTAGAACCGAAGCCAGAGCAGTCAGTGTGGCTCTGGAAGCCACAGAAAGAAGAGTTGTAACACTCACCGAGATCTGGATACAAAATGGGAACTGGAGAGTAAGAAACTGAGACCTTGCAGGGAGTGGAGACTCAGGATGAAGGTGATTTTGGTATGAAGCCAGTGAGCTGTGGATTTTGTGTTACAGCCAGGGTGCTCATGTTTTGTTCTGCAGTTTAAACCAGTGGTTTGGATTTGGGACTACAGGGGTGGTATGGAGGTCCTATTAGTGCCCAAGGGGCATGTGAGTGCTTTGAGCCTTGTCAGGGGTCAGGTTCAAGGCACTGACAGGGCCGGAGGGCCCAGAGTCCTTGTAGGGCAGAGACAGAATGAATGAGAGAATTATTCTGGCACGTGTCCACAAGGGGCCAGCAGGGGAGATTATACTTAAGGGCAACCAATATGGGTTCATTAGAGGCGGGTCCTGTCAGACCAACCTGGTGGCCTTCTATGACCAGTTCACCAAATCATTTAGATGCAGGGGTAGCAGTGGACATAGTTTTCCTGGACTTTCAGAAGGCCTTCCACACTGTCTCTCACCCCATTCTCATTAAGAAACTGGGGAACTGTGGTGTTGACACCTACACAGTCAAATG